GTCAAAGGATGTTCACTAGTATGACGAGGTAGGTGCCATGTCAGAGGATGCTGACTGGTGGGGCGAGCTGGCTGGCAGGTCAGAGAATGCTGACTGTTGGAAGGAGTTGGCTGCCAGGTCAGAGAATGCTGACTGGTGGGAGGAGCTGGCTGCCAGGTCAGAGAATGCTGACTGGTGTGAAGAAGTGGGTGCCAGGTCAGAGAATGCTGAGTGGGAGGAGCTAGCTACCAGGTCAGATAAGGCGGAATGGTGTGAAGAGATGGGTGCCAGGTCAGAGAATGCTGACCGGTGGGAGGAGCTGGCTACCAGGTGAGAGGATACTGACGGTGTGACGAGGTGGGTGCCAGGTCAGAGAATGCTGACTGGTGGAAGGAGCTGGGTACCAGAACAGAGAATGCTGACGGGTGGGAGGAGCTGACTACCTGGTCAGAGGATGCTGACTGGTGTGAAGANATGCTGAACTGATTGGGAAAGATCTTGTTGCCACGTCAGAGAATACTGCTGGTCGGAAGGAAACTGGCCTTACCAGGGGTAAGAGGATGCTGACTGGTAGGAAGAGGTGGGAGCCAGGTAAGAGAATGCTGACTGGTGGGAAGATCTTGTTGCCAGGTCAGAGAATGCTGATTGGTGGGATGAGCTGGCTACCAGGTCAGAGGATGCTGACTGGTAGGAAGAGGTGTATGACAAGTCAGAGTATGCTGACTGGTGGGACGAGCTGGCTGCCAGGTCAGAGAATGCTGACAGGTGGGAATAGCTGGCTACCAGGTCAGAGAATGCTGACAGGTGGGAGGAGCTGGCTACCAGGTCTGAGTATGCTGACTGGTGTAAAGAGGTGGGTGCCAGGTCAGAGGATGCTGACTGGTGGGAAGAGCTGGCTGGTGGGAGCTGGTTGCCAGGTCAGAGAATGCTGACTGGACGGAGCTGGTTGCCAGGTCAGATAATGTTGACTGGTGGGAGGAGCTGGCTACCAGGTCACAGGATGGTGAATGGTGTGAAGAGGTGGGTGCCAGGTCAGAGAATGCTGACTGGTGGGAGGAGCTGGCTACATGGTCAGAGGATAGTGACTAGTGTGAAGAGGTGGATGCCAGGTCAGAGAATGCTGACTGGTAGGAGGAGCTGGCTGCCAGGTCAGAGAATGCTGACTGGTGGGAAGAGCCGTGTGCAAGGTCAGAGGATGTTGAGTGGCGGGAAGAGGTGGGTGCCAGGTCAGAGAATGCTGACTGGTGGTATTAGCTGGCTACCAGGTCAGAGGATGCTGACTGGTAGTTGAAGCTGGCTAACAGGTCAGAGGATGCTGACTGCCAGGTCAGAGGATGCTTACTGGTGTGAAGACGTGGGTGCCAGGTCAGAGGATGCTGACTGGGGGAAGGAGCTGGGTGCCAGGTCAGAGAATGCTGACTGGTGGGAGGATCTGGCTACCAGGTCAGATGATGCTAACTGGTGTGAAGAGTTGGGTGCCAGGTCAGAGAATGCTGACTGGTGTGAAAAGGTTTGTGCCATGTCAAAGGATGCTGACTGGTGGAAGGAGCTGGCTGACAGGTCAGAGAATGCTGACTGATGGGAAGATCTTGTTGCCAGGTCAGAGAATGCTGACTGGTCGGATTAGCTGGCTACCAGGTCAGAGGATGCTGACTGGTAGGAAGAGGTGGGTGACAAGTCAGAGTATGCTGACTGGTGGGACGAGCTGGCTGCCATGTCAGAGAATGCTGATTGGTGGAAGGAGCTGGCTTCCAGGTCAGTGAATGGTGACTGGTGGGAAGATCTGTTTGCAAGGTCAGAGGATGCTGAGTGGCGGGAGGAGCTTGCTTCCAGGTCAGAGAATCCTAGTTGGTGGGAGGAGCTGGCAAACAGGTCAAAGGATGCTGACTGGTGGGAAGAGCTGGCTCCCAGGTCAGAGGATGCTGACTTGTGGGAGGAGATGGGTGCCAGGTCAAAGAATGCTGACTGGTGGGAGGAGCTGGCTACCAGGTCAGAGAATGCTGGCTGGTGTGAAGAAGTGTGTGCCTGGTCAGAGAATGCTGACTGGTGTAAGGGGCTGGTTGCCAGGTCAGAGAATGGTGACTGATGGGAAGATCTTATTGCCACGTCAGAGAATGCTGACTGGTGGGAGGAGCTGGCTACCAGGTCAGAGGATAATGACTGGTAGGAAGAATTGGGTGCCAGGTACGAGAATGCTGACTGGTGGGAAGAGCCGTGTGCAAGGTCTGAGGATGTTTAGTCACGGGTGGAGCTTGCTGCCAGGTCAGAGAATGCTGACTGGTGGGAGGAGCTGGCTACCAGGTCTGAGTATGCTGACTGGTGTAAAGAGGGTGGTGCCAGGTCAGAGAATGCTGACTGGTGGGAAGAGCTGGCTGCCAGGTGGGAGGAGCTGGCAACCAGGACTGAGTATGCTGACTAGTGTAAAGAGGTGGGTGCCAGGTCAGAGGATGCTGACTGGTGTGAAGAGCTGGCTGGTGGGAGCTGGTTGCCAGGTCAGAGAATGCTGACTGGACGGAGCTGGTTGCCAGGTCAGAGAATGCTGACTGGTGGGAGGAGCTGGCTACCAGGTCACAGGATGGTAACTGGTGTGAAGAGGTGGGTGCCATGTCAGAGAATGCTGACTGGTGGGAGGAGCTGGCTACATGGTCAGAGGATAGTGACTGGTATATAGAGGTGGATGCCAGGTCAGAGAATGCTGACTGGTAAGAGGAGCTGGTTGCCAGGTCAGAGAATGCTGACTGGTGGGAAGAGCCGTGTGCAAGGTCAGAGGATGTTGAGTGGCTGGAGGAGGTGGGTGCCAGGTCAGAGAATGCTGACTGGTGGGAAGAGGAGCTCGCTGCCAGGTCAGAGAATGCTGACTGGTGGTAGGAGCTAGCTACCAGGTCAGAGGATGCTGACTGGTAGGTGAAGCTGGCTACCAGGTCAGAGAATGCTGACTGGTGGGTGGAGCTGGGTGCCAGGTCAGAGAAAGCTGATTGGTGTGAAGAGCTGGGTGCCAGGTTAGAGGATTCTGACTGGTGGGAGGAGCTGGCTAACAGGTTAGAATATGCTGACTGGTGTGAAGACGTGGTTGCCAGGTCAGAGGATGCTGACTGGTGGAAGGAGCTGGGTGCCAGGTCAGAGAATGCTGACTGGTGGGAGGAGCTGGCTACCAGGTCAGATGATGCTAACTGGTGTGAAGAGGTGGGTGCCTGGTCAGAGAATGCTGACTGGTGTGAAGAGGTTGGTGCCAGGTCAAAGGATGCTGACTGCCAGGTCAGAGAATGCTGACTGATGGGAAGATCTTGTTGCCAGGTCAGAGAATGCTGACTGGTGGGATGAGCTGGCTACCAGGTCAGAGGATGCTGATTGGTAGGAAGAGGGGGGTGCCAGGAAAGAGAATGCTGACTAGTGGGAAGAGCCATGTACAAGGTCATAGGATGCTGAGTGGCGGGAGGAGCTTGCTGTCTGGTGGGAAGAGCTGGCTGCCAGGTCAGAGAATGCTGACAGGTGGGAGGAGCTGGCTACCAGGTCTCAGTGTGCTGACTGGTGTAAAGAGGTGTGTGCCAGGACAGAGTATGCTGACTGGTGGGAAGAGGTGGTTGGTGGGAGCTGGTTGCCAGGTCAGAGAATGCTGACTGGACGGAGCTGGTTGCCAGGTCAGAGAATGCTGACTGGTGGGAGGAGCTGGCTACCAGGTTACAGGATGGTGAATGGTGTGAAGAGGTGGGTGCCAGGTCAGAGAATGCTGATTGGTGGGAGGAGCTGGCTACATGGTCAGAGGATAGTGACTGGTGTGAAGAGGTGGATGCCAGGTCAGAGAATGCTGACTGGTAGGAGGAGCTGACTGCCAGGTCAGAGAATGCTATCTGGTGGGAAGAGCCATGTGCAATGTAAGAGGATGTTGAGTGGCCGGAAGAGGTGGGTGCCAGGTCAGAGAATGCTGACTGGTAGGTGAAGATGGCTAACAGGTCAGAGGATGCTGACTGGTAGGTGAAGATGGCTAACAGGTCAGAGGATGCTGACTGGTGGGAAGAGCTGTCTGCCAGGTCAGAGAAGGCTGACTGGTATGAAGAGCTAGGTGCCAGGTCAGAGAATGCTGACTGGTGGGAGGAGCTGGCTGCCAGGTCAGAGGATGCTGACTGGTGTGAAGACGTGGGTGCCAGGTCAGAGGATTTCGACTGGTGGAAGGAGCTGGGTGCCAGGTCAGAGAATGCTGACGGGTGGGAGGATCTGGCTACCAGGTCAGATGATGCTAACTGGTGTGAAGAGTTGGGTGCCAGGTCAGAGAATGCTGACTCGTGTGAAAAGGTTGGTGCCATGTCAAAGGATGCTGACTGGTGGAAGGAGCTGGATGCCAGGTCAGAGAATGCTGAATGAATGGAAGATCTTGTTGTCAGGTCAGAGAATGCTGACTGGTGGGATGAGCTGGCTACTAGGTCAGAGGATGCTAACTGGTAGGAAGAGGTGGGTGACAAGTCAGAGTATGCTGACTGGTGGGACGAGCTGGCTGCCAGGTCAGAGAATGCTGACTGGTCGGAGGAGCTGTCTGCCATGTCAGAGAATCCTGATTGGTGGAAGGAGCTGGCTGCCAGGTCTGAGAATGGTGACTGGTGGGAAGATCCGTGTGCAAGGTCAGAGGATGCTGAGTGGCGGGAGGAGCTTGCTTCCAGGTCAGAGAATCCTGGTTGGTGGGAGGAGCTGCCTAACAGGTCAAAGGATGCTGACTGGTGGGAAGAGCTGGCTCCCAGGTCAGAGGATGTTGACTGGTGGGAGGAGATGGGTGCCAGGTCAGAGAATGCTGACTGGTGGGAGGAGCTTGCTACCAGGTCAGGGAATGCTGTCTGGTGTGAAGAAGTGTGTGCCAGGTCAGCGAATGTTGACTGGTGCCAGGTCAGAGGATGCTGACTGGTAGGAAGACTTGGGTGCCAGGTAAGAGAATGCTGACTGGTGGGAAGAGCCGTGTGCAAAGTCTGAGGATGCTGAGTCACGGGAGGAACTTGCTGCCAGGCCAGAGAATGCTGACTGGTGGTAAGAGCTGGCTACCAGGTCTGAGTATGCTGACTAGTGTAAAGAAGTGGGTGCCAGGTCAGAGGATGCTGATTGGTGTGAAAAGCTGGCTGGTGGGAGCTGGTTGCCAGATCAGAGAATGCTGACTGGTCGAAGCTTGTTGCCAGGTCAGAGAATGCTGACTGGTGGGAGTAGCTGGCTACCAGGTCACAGGATGGTAACTGGTGGGGAGAGGTGGGTGCCATGTCAGAGAATGCTGACTGGTGGGAGGAACTGGCTACATGGTCAGAGGATAGTGACTGGTGTATAGAGGTGGATGCCAGGTCAGAGAATGCTGACTGGTGAGAGGAGCTGGCTGCCAGGTCAGAGAATGCTGACTGGTGTGAAGAGCCGTGTGAAGGTCAGTGGATGTTGAGTGGCGGGAGGAGGTGGGTGCCAGGTCTGAGAATGCTGACTGGTGGTAGGAGCTAGCTACCAGGTCAGAGGATGCTGACTGGTAGGTGAAGCTGGCTACCAGGTCAGAGAATGCTGACTGGTGGGTGGAGCTGTCTGCCAGGTCAGAGAAAGCTGATTGGTGTGAAGAGCTGGGTGCCAGGTTAGAGGATTCTGACTGGTGGGAGGAGCTGGCTAACAGGTCAGAATATGCTGACTGGTGTGAAGACGTGGTTGCCAGGTCAGAGAATGCTGACTGGTGGAAGGAGCTGGCTACCAGGTCAGATGATGCTAACTGGTGTGAAGAGGTTGGTGCCAGGTCAAAGGATGCTGACTGCCAGGTCAGAGAATGCTGACTGATGGGAAGATCTTGTTGCCAGGTCAGAGAATGCTGACAGGTGGGAGGAGCTGGCTACCAGGTCTGAGTATGCTGACTGGTGTAAAGAGGTAGGTGCCAGGTCAGAGGATGCTGACTGGTGGGAGCTGGTTGCCAGGTCAGAGTATGCTGACTGGACGGAGCTGGTTGCCAGGTCAGAGAATGCTGACTGGTGGGAGGAGCTGGCTACCAGGTCACAGGATGGTGAATGGTGTGAAGAGGTGGGTGCCAGGTCAGAGAATGCTGACTGGTGGGAGGAGCTGGCTACATGGTCAGAGGATTGTGAATGGTGTGAAGAGGTGGATGCCAGGTCAGAGAATGCTGACTGGTAGGAGGAGCTGACTGCCAGGTCAGAGAATGCTGTCTGGTGGGAAGAGCCGTGTGCAATGTCAGAGGATGTTGAGTGGCGGGAAGAGGTGGGTGCCAGGTCAGAGAATGCTGACTGGTGGGAAGGGGAGCTCGCTGCCAGGTCAGAGAATGCTGACTGGTGGTAGGAGCTGGCTACAAGGTCAGAGGATGCTGACTGATAGGTGAAGCTGGCTACCAGGTCAGAGAATGCTGACTTGTGGGTGGAGCTCTATGCCATTTCAGAGAAGGCTGACTGGTGTGAAGAGCTGGGTGCCAGGTCAGAGAATGCTGACTGGTGGGAGGAGCTGGCTACCAGGTCAGAGGATGCTGACTGGTGTGAAGACGTGGGTGCCAGGTCAGAGAATGCTGACTGGTGGAAGGAGCTGGGTGCCAGGTCAGAGAATGCTGACTGGTGGGAGGAGCTGGCTACCAGGTCAGATGATGCTAACTGGTGTGAAGAGTTGGGTGCCAGGACAGAGAATGCTGACTGGTGTGAATAGGTTGGTACCAGGTCAAAGGATGCTGACTGGTGGAAATAGCTGGCTGCCAGGTCAGAGAATGGTAACTGGTGTGAAGAGGTGGGTGCCAGGTCAGAGAATGCTGACTTGTGGGAGGAGCTGGTTACATGGTCAGAGGATAGTGACTGGTGTATAGAGGTGGATGCCAGGTCAGAGAATGCTGACTGGTAGGAGGAGCTGGCTGCTAGGTCAGAGAATGCTACCTGGTGGGAAGAGACGTGTGCAAGGGGAGAGGATGTTGACTGGCGGGAGGAGGTGGGTGCCAGGTCAGAGAATGCTGACTGGTGGGAAGGGGAGCTCGCTGCCAGGTCAGAGAATGCTGACTGGTGGTAGGAGCTGGCTACCAGGTCAGAGGATGCTGACTGGTAGGTGAAGCTGGCTACCAGGTCAGAGAAACCTGACTTGTGGGTGGAGCTGTCTGCCAGGTCAGAAGGCTGATTGGTGTGAAGAGCTGGGTGCCAGGTCAGAGAATGCTGACTGGTGGGAGGAGCTGGCTACCAGGTCAGAATATGCTGACTGGTGTGAAGACGTGGGTGCCAGGTCAGAGAATGCTGACTGGTGTAAGGAGCTGGGTGCCAGTTCAGAGAATGCTGACTGGTGGGAGGAGCTGGATACCAGGTCAGATGATGCTATCTGGTGTGAAGAGTTGGGTGCCAGGTCAGAGAATTCTGACTGGTGTGAAGAGGTTGGTGCCAGGTCAAAGGATGCTGGCTGATGGGAAAATCTTGTTGCCAGGTCAGAGAATGCTGACTGGTGGGATGAGCTGGCTACCAGGTCAGAGGATGCTGAATGGTAGGAAGAGGTGGGTGCCAGTTAAGAGAATGCTGACTAGTGGGAAGAGCCGTGTACAAGGTCAGAGGATGCTGCCAAGTCAGAGAATGCTGGCTGGTGGGAAGAGCTGGCTGCCAGGTCAGAGAATGCTGACTGGTGGGAGGAGCTTTCTACCAGGTCAGAGTATGCTGACTGGTGTAAAAAGGTGTGTGCCAGGTCAGAGGATTGTTACTGGTGGGAAGAGCTGGCTACCAGGTCAGAGAATGCTGACTAGTTGGAGATTGTTGCCAGGTCAGAGAATGCTGACTGGTGGGAGGAGCTGGTTCCCAGGTCAGGGGATAGTGACTGATGTGAAGAGGTGGGTGCCAGGTCAGAAAATGCTGACTGGTAGGAGGAGCTGGCTGCCAGGTCAGAGAATGCTGACTGATGGGAAGAGCCGTGTGCAAGGTCTGAGGATGGTGAGTGGCGGGAGGAGTTGGGTACCAGGTCAGAGAATGCTGACTGGCGGGAAGAGGAGCTCCCTGCCAGGTCAGAGAATGCTGACTGGCTTGAAGATGAGATCGCTTCCAGGTCAGAGAAGGCTTACTGGTGGGAGGAGCCGTGTGCAAGGTCAGAGGATGCTAAGTGGCGGGAGGAGCTGGGTGCCATGTCAGAGAATGCTGACTGGCGGGAAGAGGAGCTTGGTGCCAGGTCAGAGAATGCTTACTCGCGGGAAGATGAGATCGCTGCCAGGTCAGAGAATGGTGACTGGTGGGAGGAGTTGGCTACCAGGTCAGAGGATGCTGACTGGTAGGTGGAACTGGCTACCAGGTCAGAGAATGCTGACTGGTGGGAGGAGCTGTCTGCCTGGTCAGAGAAGGCTGACAGGTGTGAAGAGGTGGGTGCCAGGTCAGAGAATGGTGACTGGTGGGAGGATGCTGACTGAGTGAAGGAGCTGGGTGCCAGGTCAGAGGATGCTAACTGGTGTGAAGAGGTTCGTGCCAGGTCAGAGAATGCTGATTGGTGTGAAGAGGTGGGTTCCAGGTCAGAGGATTCTGACTGGTGGAAGGAGCTGGCTGCCAGGTCAGAGAATGCTGACTGGTGAGAAGAGCCGGCTGCCAGGTCAGAGAATGCTGACTGGTGGGAGGAGCTGGCTACCAGATCAGAGGATGCTGACTGGTAGGAAGGGGTGGGTCCCAGGTCAGAGAATGGTGACTGGTGGGAAGAGCTGTGTGCAAGGTCAGAGGATGCTGAGTGGCGGGAGGAGCTGGGTTCCAGGTCAGGGAATGCTGACTGGTGGGAAGAGCCGTTTGCAATGTCAGAGGATGCTGAGTGGAGGGAGGAGGTTTGTGCGAGGTCAGTAAAGGCCGACATGTGAGAAGATCTGTATGCCAGGTCAGAGGATGATGAATGGTGGGAGGAGATGGTTCCTAGGTCAGAGAATGCTGACTGGTGTGAAGAGGTGGGTTTCAGGTCAGAGAAGGGTGACTTTTGGGATGAACTGGCTACCAGGTCAAAGGAAGAGCCGTGTGTAAGGTCAGAGGATGCTGAGTGGCGGGAGGAACTTGGTGCCAGGTCAGAGAATAGTGACTGGTGTGAAGAGGTGGCTACCATGTCAGAGAATGCTGACTGGTAGGGAGAGCTGGCTGCCTGGCCAGAGAATGCTGACTGGTAGGTGGAGCTGGCTACCAGGTCAGAAAATGCTGACATGTGGGAGGAGCTCGCTGCCAAGTCAGAGAAGGCTGACTGGTATGAATAGTTTTGTGCTAGGTCTTAGGATGGTGATTGATAAGAACTGGGTGTTAGGTCAGAGAATACTGATTCGTGGGAGGAGCTGGCTACCAGGTCAGAGAATGCTGACTGGTAGGGGAGCTGGCTGCCAGGTCAGAGGATGCTGACTGGTGGGAGGAGGTGGCTGCCAGGTCAGAGAACGCTGACTGGTAGGAGGAGCTGGCTACCAGGTCAGAGAATGTTGATTGTTAGGAGTTGGCTACCAGAGGATTTTGACTGGTGTGAAGAGGTGGGTGCCAGGTCAGATGATGCTGTCTGGTGGAAGGAGTTGGCTGCCAGGTTAGAGGATGGTAACTGGTGTGAAGAGTTGGGTGCCAGGTCAGTTAATGCTGATTGTTGGGAGGAGTTGGCTACCAGGTCAGAGGATGCTGACTTGTGGGAGGAGCTGGCTGCCAGGTCGGAGAAGGCTGACTGGCGGGAAGAGGAGCTGGTTGCCAGGTTAGAGAAGGCTGACTGGTGAGAAGTGGTGGGTGCCAGGTCAGAGAATGCTTACTGGTGTGAATAGGTGGGTGCCAGGTTAGATGATGCTGACTGGTAGGAAGAGCTGGCTGCCAGATCAGAGAATGCTGACTGGTGGGAGGAGCTGTCTGCCAGTTCAGAGAAGGCTGACTGGTGTGAAGAGGTGGATGCCAGGTCAGAGAATGCTGACTGGGGGGACGAGCTGACTCCCAGGCCAGAGGATGCTGACTGGTGTGAATAGGTGGGTGCCAGGTTAGAGTATGCTGACTGGTAGGAAGAGCTGGCTGCCAGGTCAGGGAATGCTGACTGGTTGGAGGACCTGGCTACCAGGTCAGAGAAGGCTGACTGGTGGGAGAAG